AGGGGAGGGGGTGGGGGGGGGGGGGGGGGGGGGGAGTCAAAAATGGTACTGGGCATTTTTTACCTTAATGTAGAGAATGCATTAAGGTAAAAAACGCCCAGCCTTTAGTAATACTTTAATTGCATTTATAAGCTGAGTACAACACATTCTGTACTATTTCTTCGATTATGTCTACAGTTTTTTTTTTTAAATGCAACTAGTGTAGGTACCTGATGGTGTCCTGATATCAGCCGTTTGTAGTCCCTTGTACAGTAGCACTTGACCACTTTTCTTGACAATGCTGGGCTGCTGCTGCAGTGTAGGATCTAGCTATGAGATATACATACTGTACTGTTCCAGTAAAGATGTAATGGTGTTTTTGTAACTCCGATGGTCATTGAAAGTTTCCTTGCTCTTCTGCAGGCGGAAGACACCGGGGCCTGGTTTAATTTGAGTGCTCAGGAGTTGCAGCCCATCTTCTCTTCGGTAGAACTGGATGAAGGCATCAGTTATGTGAAGACTCGGGTTTGCCCACAGGAAGCCTGGAATGGAGGCAACTCTCTCCTGGTGGAAGGAAAGCTATCGGCAGACACCAATGGCGTCTCTTTGAAGTGAGTTGCCCGATAGAGTTTTGTTCACCTGACATGTTGCAGTAGCTTTAGTATACCCTCTGGGCCTCAGGTGTGACCCCCTCCACCACCGTGCCTGACAGTTGGTATGAAGTGTTTGTGCCGATATGCTGTGTCTGGTTTTCGCCAAATGTGGCGCTGTGCATTATGGCCAAACATCTCCACTTTTATCTCGTCTGTCTAAAGGACATTGTTCCAGAAGTCTTGTTGTTTGTTCAGATGCAACTTTACAAAACTAAGCCGTGCTGCCATGTTCTTTTTAGAGAGAAGAGGCTTTCTCCTGGAAACCCTTCCAAACAAAGCCATAGTTAGTCTTTTTCTAATTGTACTGTCATGAACGTTAACATGCTGAGACCTGTAGAGTCTGAGATGTAACTATTGGATTTTTTTGCAATGTCTCTGAGCATTGCACGGTCTAACCCTGGGGTGAATTTGCGGGGACGTCCACTCCTGGGAAGATCGGCAACTGTCTTGAATGTTTTCCACTTGTAAATTATCTTCCTCACTGTTGAATGATGGACTTTAAATTGTTTGGAAATGGCCTTATAACCCTTTCCAGATTGTTGGACTTCTCTTAAGGTGCCCATACACTGCTCGATTCTCGTACGAGAATCGGGCGAAATCCCGCGATCGTACGAGAATCGAGCAGTGTGAACGAAGACGTGCGACCGTTTCTAATGTACGGTCGCACGTCTTTTGTCGAACCAACATGCTCAAAAACCTGCCGAGAATCGTATGATTGTCGGCGGGTTTCTAGCCTGCTCGTCCTATAGCTGCGGAACTGGCCGGTGTGCGCACGCACACTGCCCGTTCTGCATTGCGGTCATCGGAAGCCCGCCCCTCAGCGGGGCGGGCTTTTGATGATCGCAAGTACGCTCTGCACGTCCAAGGTGGGCAGATCGTACGAGCTTTCAATAAGCATACGACCATCGCAAGACAAAAGTCTTGCGATGGTCGTAAGGTGTATGGGCACCTTAAGATTATTCCTGATGTCTTGCCCCTTTGGCATTGTGTTAACACACACCTGAATACTCCAGACCAGCAAACTGCTAAAACGTCAGCTTTCAATGGATCAAGGGCATTTGATTAGCAGCACCTGGCTGCTACTTATCCTCTTGATTCCTATGGAAGCAGTACGGGTGTACTTAGTTTTTCCACATATAACTTCTCCATTTTGGCTTGATGTTTGTAAAATAAATAATGACACGGTGTAATATGTCATGTGTTGTTGGTTATCTGAGGTTCTATTTACCTAATTCTAAGACCTGCTAAGGACCAGATGATTTTTATTATGTCCTGATACTTAAAACTAGGGATGCACCGATACTAGTACTAGTATCGGTGCTGATACCGAGTATTTGGGTGAGTACTCGTACTCGCCCAAATACTCCCAAAGCTTACTCCGGTATCAGGAAGCCGGGCGGCGAGTTATTACACAACGTCGGCTTCCTGATTGGCCGGGAAGCTGGCTCTATGCTTCCTCGTCACCAGGGAGCATTAAGCTGGCTTCACGGCCAAACAGGAAGCCAGGGGGCCGGCTCCATGCTCCCTCGTCACTTGGCTTCCCAGCCAATCAGGAAGACAGGTTGCATGTAATGACTCACCGCCCGGCTTCCTGATTAGTCATGAAGCTGGCCAATCAGGAAGCCGGGCAGTGAGTCATTTCCCGCCCCCCAGCCTCCTGATTGGCCAGAAAGCTGGCTCCATGCTTCCTCGTCACCTAGTGACGAGGGAGCATGGAGCCGGCTTTCCATCCAATCAGGAAGCCAGGGGGTGTATAATGACTCGCCACCGGGCTTTCAGATTGGTCTGGAAGCTGGCCAATGGGAAAGCCGGACGGCAAGTCATATCCTGCCCCCAGCCTCCTGATTGGCCAGAAATCCGGCCCCATGCTTCCTCGTCACCTGGTGACGAGGGAGCGTGGAGTCGGCTTCCCGGGTAATCAGGAAGCCGGGGGTGAGTCATTACACGCCATCCGGCTTCCCGGCTAATCAGGAAGCTGGGCGGCCAGTCATTACACGCCGCCTGGCTTTCTTAATGGGACTTCCGGTATAGGTGTTTGGTATCTGCGAGTACGAAAAATAAAAAAAATATCGGTACTCGATACAGAAAAAAAATGGTATCGGTGCATCCCTACTTAAAACCATAGAATTTGAAGAGGGCGTACTTTCTTTTGCACACAACTGTAGATCTCTTACTTGTACAATGTTGTGTTTTGGTAGGTTGTTTTCTCTACATGTTCCTGTTCCAGAGAAGCTCTTGCTCTCCATGGTCTACAGGCTGGAGGAGTCACCCAATGTTGCGGTATCGCTGGAGCTCTCCACCCAAGACGCCCCAGTGTGCAGTGTGGAGAGTATTTCTGAACTGACCGGTGAGATGTTTTTCACTAGAGGAAGGCCGGCAGTGCTTGTGCTGTGACGACAAACTGCACGTGAACTTCAGACAAGGATATACAATATACTACTAACATTATGTAGACATCAGGGCAGGATCTTCTCCTAGAACTGTTCTACTAGGCAAATAACATCACATATACCCAGGTGGGGTAAGAGTTGTTTCATCAATGTGGTTTCATCAATGTGGAAATCCACCACGTGAGGGAAACATTCCTTTAAATCCCAGTTTAATACAATAGCCAGCAGAACCAGTCTGTTTAGTGTGGATAGGGGAATTGTGTATGGCCATCATTAGAGATGTCTTAAAATACATTTTTTCTTTAGTTGAAATAATTCCCCTGCTCTTCCAATTCAGTGCTGAGTGCTATCATAGGTCATACATGGTTCAAATGTCCTGCTGAATTGGGCAAAGTTTCCTTGCCCTGCTGGCAACACCTGGATCCACAAAAGTTGAAGGGCCAACGATTTCCCATCAGGCTATTTCAATGTTTCAATCAGTGACTGGAACCATTCATATGCAGTCACTATTGGGATATTCAAACACCCGGGAAGGGGGGGGGAGAATCGGCTGTCTGAATACATTACCCGGCAGGGAAGAGTCTTCCATCCACACTGTTTTGCTTGGATTTGGGAAGCTATCGATTTCCATAAATGTGTATGGCTAGCCCAAATGGGTAAAAAAACCATAGGGCTCATCACAAGCACCCTCTTGCAGACTGTGGTTGCCAGGAGCTGGGCGGGACGCCAGCCAGAGCGTCCCAGGTTGCTAAGAGCTGGGTTTGGAGATATATATGGCCCTTAGATATCTCCCCGCCCAGCTCTTAGCAACCTGGGGATGCTCTGGCCAGCGTCCCGCCCAGCTCCTGGCAACCAGGGATGTCACTGGTTGCCAGGAGCTGGCCGGGATGCCAGGGGTGGAATGTCTTGTAGGTACGTCTCTGCCGCAGCTTGAGTTTGGACCAATTTAGTACAAAATAGTTATATCAGGAAACTGGAGGTAAAGCTGATATTTGAGGTAGTTAGTACAACGTCTGGATGACTACATGTCTATATCTGTGACTTCATTTGGGCTTTACAGGGACACTATTATCAAAAAATGAAGATATTTAAAGAAACATAAATACTACAGGAGTCCCTTTATCATATGTGTATATTATTGTAATGACAGTATATTTGACATATCCAGTACCATATTTGTCATCAGTGGATTTCTGTAATAATCTAGAACCCCCACTCTAGAGCAGCCTTAGTAATTATTTCAATTTACATTATTTATGTATGTTTCCTCCCTGTTTTAGTAGCCATGCCAGACTCAAGGCCAGGCTGATCTCTTAAGCTTTGTCTGTTTCAGGTCAACACTATAACAAGGTAACTTTTGCTTTATGTGTTCTCTCCCTCGTCAAATAGTGCAGCATCGAACGCACACTCCGACCTCCCTCCAAGGTCCGCCTACGTTTCTTACAGACACTCAACATGGCAAAGAATCTGGATGGGTAAAAAGGTTGGTATATTAACCACTTATGGACCTTGGTTACTACAGGAAGGTATGCTGATCAGCTGCTGAAGAGCTCTGTGCAATCGTGAACAAAATAGGGGAAAAAGGAGTTACGCTACAAATAACATTTATGTAGACTAGTCTCCAGGGTTTCAGTAAGATAATTCAAAAACTATTTAACCCCTAAACAAAGAAATCCCTTTCATGGAGCTGTCTAGTAACCAAGTAACACAGTTGATGTATTTAGAATATATAAAGCAGATTTAATAGAAAAATTACATAAAACATCAAATCACCTACTACAAGACATCTAAAATCAAAAACATTATTTTAAATGATTTTAGATGTCTTGTAGTAGGTGATTTGATGTTTTATGTAATTTTTCTATTAAATCTGCTTTATATATTCTAAATACATCAACTGTGTTACTTGGTTACTAGACAGCTCCATGAAAGGGATTTCTTTGTTTAGGGGTTACATAGTTTTTGAAAGCTCTGTGCATTCCCAGACATTGGACAAAATGGTATTGAAATGGTATCCAAATTCAAGCCATCACAGTCTCTGTTAGTAAGCCCTGATGAAGGGGGTATTTGTATAAGCCCCCGAAATGCATTGGCTATTTCTATAAAGTCCCCTTAAGCCTACATTGATGTATCGGGACTATTAAATGGAGTGTGGCACTTCAAGTCTCCATCCTTCAATTTGACACTACAAACCAAGGAGACAGTGGAGATCCTCTGGAATGTAGAAGCTGCCTGTCTGGTTGTCAGACACCTATATTGACTCATACACACCATAATTGGCCAGACACACCAAGAGGATAAACCTTGCAGGTCCATCCCTTTTATTCCACTTCCTTCTAGTCCCTCTTCTTGTGACAGTGCTTGGGCCCAGCGATTTGTGGCTAGACCTGCACATTGTCACATAGGTGGGCGCATGCTCCCACCACAGCGGAAGCACCAGGTATTGTTGCCGGCTGTGCTGGAGGAAGAAGCAGGAGCAATATAGCACTGGCAAGGTGAGTATCACCAAAGACATTGTCAATTTGCCTTGAATTGGCAAGAGGACGATGTCTCTTTAAACCTAATCAGTCCTAATGAACTCCTTCCTCCCCTCAAGTATTATTTTATTAGCTTTAACAATTTTATTTGTATTTAAATTATAACTAACTTCACTATTCTGTGTGCTAGAAATGTAATGTTAGTAACAGGTGCCCCCAAGACAGGAAATGATTGGGAGTGAGGAGAAATATGGGGAGCACAGTGAAGTCAAGATCAGGAGTCTATCTGCATGGAGTTTGCATGTTCTCTCTGTGCTTGTGTGAGTTTCTTCCGGGTACTTCAGTTTCCTCCCAGATTCCAAAGGCATGCTGGTAGGTTAATTGGCTCCTGTCTAAAATTGACCCTAATTGTCTAAAACTGGCCCTTGTATGGTATTCAACTGAGCGTGCCAAAGATGGTGGCATCACCATGTGCCTCAACATCAGGTATATCGCTTTCAGTCCCCTAGGAGAAAAGTGCTTTAGAACTATAAATCGATTAAAAAACATATTTCAAATATTGGGTCACAGACTACGTTAAGCACCCCCTTTTGCAGGTTGCTTACGCTAAAAGATTGATTTTTTTTTTAATGGTCCAAATTCTTTGCGTAAATCTGTTAGGCCTCATTTACACGAGTGGTGAGGGGGCAGTAAGGCCGCACAGTTGATGTGCAATTTTAATCCCCCCCCCAGCCACGGAGACATTGCCATGGCCCCAATGCTTTGCGTCACAAATCAAAAGCATTTTGTGTTTGACAGGTAGTGCCACTTTCAAACGCGACAATTGAAATGAATAGGACAGCGCCGCAACCACGTACCCACAGTACTTCAATAGAAAAACTAATTGGGATAAAAAAATAAATAACTTTATTTAGGAGGTGGCAGTATCTCCTCTTGAACGCCAGGCAGCTGCTGCTCCTCTGCCCCCTGAAAGGAATCCACTGCGGTTTGCTTTTCAGAGGGCAGTGGAGACTGCAGCCCATCTCAACGAGGCCTTACTTAGACAAACAGAAGTTCTTTTTATATAAGAAAGGTTTTTAATTACTCAACCTTGCCTTAGAAACAAATATTCCAGACAAACGGACCTGATGAAGGGGGCACTGCCCTGAAACGTGTAGGCGCTACACCTCTACAAACAGTTAATGTATCTGTGATTAAGACTGACTTGCCTGCAGTTTGTCATTGAGTTTCACCCTTTTAATGAAGAGCTGAATGCCTGCTGTATTGATGTTTAATTCAGCTTAAATAAAACAGATTTTGACCCCTCCATACTCTGATAAAATCTAAAAAAAAGATGTTTACTGGCGCTTGTGTATATACAGAGGTTGCTTTTGTTCTAACTTGTTGACATTATTTCAGATATTATGAGGTGCAGCTCAGCGGATGTGTCCTGACCAGTTTATCGGTACATTTTGCCAACCTGACGCCTAGTGAAGAGGAGCAAAACTTTGTGTGTCGCCTCGGAGAAATAAGGGTAACCACTAAAAATACTTTAACATTGATAATAATAAAAAATGTCACTCCCTTGTGGATGACATCGATGGCATTTCCAACGTGTGCTTCTTTTTTTCTCCTCCTCAGGCTCTCGATGTTTCTCTACCTCCGCCTCGTCCCGTGCCGCCTACTGACCTCTCTCTGTCCCACATCCTGTGGCGGAGGGATGAGCAGACCAATCAACTCTTTGTCAGCCTCACCCTCTACTGGAGCCACAGCATGGACAACATTCGCCACTTCCGAATATACTGTCGGGGCGTCACCTGCCAACGAGCACCAGAGTCTCAGGCTCACCTTCTCGGACTGGCGCACGCTTGCATCTACCGCGTGGTTGACCTGGAGGTGCCTGACCCGTGCTCTCCTGCCCCGGGCAGGTTGGAGTTCACGGTACAACCAGTTAATAAGGACGTTGTTGAAATCTTGTCTCCAGAATGGGGGCTGTTGGTTTTAGAATTTGTGGAGCAGACGCAAACCGAGGTCTGACTGTGTGGATGGTTGGGTGGTACCTTACAAGGCAAGCTGGTGCTGTTTATTATATATGGTTCATTGTACTTGTTTTCCTGCAGCCTTATACAGATAAGTGGTTATTTACAACAACAAAAAACCACGTTAAAGGGGTACTTTACCCACCAATTTAATGTCTTCAAAAATAGTTAATTAGTTAATAGTGGCAGTGCACATTCTAGGGGGTCTGAGCAGGTGTTGTGCTGTGCACGCTAACGGGGGTTGGTGGGTCTGCATCATCCGCCTCTGGCCGGTGTCCCACCCACCTCACTAACATCACTGGTTGCCGGGAGCTGGTTGGGATGCTGGCTAGATTGTCCCAGGTTGCCCCCTGACTAAGATTTACATGGTCATGATCATTCGTTTCACTGAAAACCAGTTAGACCCCATCTGCTATTTCCAGTGCATGGTTCTAATGCTAGGAGCTGGGCGGGAAGATGTGTATGGCCATTACACATCTTCCCGCCCAGCTCTTAGCAACCTGTGATGCTCTGACCATAAAAGAGGCGCCAGGCACACTGCAAACATTGTGCAGCAGAGGTGCCCTGCCGCCCCCTCACTTGACCCAAAGAGATCCCGCCTGAGGCATCATTCTAGGGATGGCCCGGTAGATATTCTGGCATTGGGATTTGGCCAGGGTGAAAAATGACATCTTGCTGGAAATATTAATAATCATTAGAACCATGCACTGGAAACAGCAGCTGGGTCTAACTGGTTTTCAGTGGGACAATACAGAAGCTTCTATTCTAGTGTTCTGAAGCAGTCACCTGACTCACACACAACGAATGATCATGACCATGTAAATCTTAGTCAGTTTACCCCCTGACTAAGATTTACATGGTCATGATCATTCGCTGTGTGCCAATTTCACGGCAGTGAGGCTGTTCAGAGTCAGGTGACTGCTTCAGAACATTCATTTTTTTCCATTATGGGACGTTAATAAAAACCTATAGTACTAATAGGAACAAGAAGTAAACTTAAACAGCACATTATTATTAAATGCATTATGACAAACAGATTTTGCAAATGTGAACAGAAGACAGGTATCCTGGTCAATGTCAGTGAGTTGTCTTATCTTTCATAGGGAAGGGTCAGAGGGGTGCTAAGAACATATGCGATGGACCTCAAATAGCAGCCTAGGGCAGGGGTAGGGCACCTCAGCCGAGGTTGAAAGAGTGCCAAGGTCGCCTACCCGATCTAGGGCATCTGAAGTAGCCAGGACCTCGGAGAACACTGCTAGACCGGTAGCAAATCAGAAACAAAATCACTTGATTCCTTGATTCCCTTGTACCGCCCCCGAGGAGCATACCTGTGGACCTGTGCATATATCATATCCTAGTGTAATAGTTGTATTCTACTCCCATACCTCATCTTAAGGAGTAGAAAAAAGGATCAGCCCCATAACGTAGAGAGTTTGCAAACTTTCCTGACATTTAAAAAGTGTTTGTTCCCTAGGGTAGCACTAAATGGTTAGATTCTTGCTTGAGTGGGAAATGGAGCCCCTCTGATGGAAACTCCTTCCATGCCTCCCAATCAGCTGCTCCCTGCCTGCCTGCAGCTTGACATAAGCAAAGGGGCAGGATGCAGTAGCGTCATTGACCTTGTATGGCTATATTAGGCAAATGACAGTGACTAAATATAATCATGTGGCCATATAAGGTCAATGACATCAACACAAGCATCCTGCCCCTTTGCTTATGGTCATCTGTGGGGTGGGGAATGCTCCGACTTGCAGCTGATTGGATGGGAGGCCCCATGTAGCTTCCTAGTTTGGACCTGATCTGATCCCTATTTATCATACTTGCTTCAAACCAGAGCACCCCTTCCACCTGTTCAGGAACCTTTTCCTGAGGCTGACCTGTCATGCTGAAAATGGTAGTTTTCTGGCTTCTGGTTTCAGTCCTAGTTGAACTAGGATCAGCAGATTAGGAGTTGTAACATTTCCCAGAATTTTCTGATCCGCTGTTCAGAAAGTATGACAGCCGGAGAGTCGCCATAACTGCCAGGCAGCTGGCATTTTTCTATGTGAGGCCGGTAATGGCCATCCTTGTGGAAAAGGTGAAGTAGCACAATATTACCTCTGCCCATTAGAGGGAGGATTTCCTTCAGGTCGCGCCCATTCTGCTGGCTTTTCCCAGCACCAGTCTTGATCGATATCCCCCCTTTGTACATAGATTTTGTTCTTACGATTTTATACAAACAGACGCAAAATATGAAATCCTGAAACTTTATTTTTTACTGCCTTTTAATGAATCGCATTATACGCTGCGTGTAATTCCTGTAATAAACATGAGCTTAATGTTGGATTCTTTCGGTGTTCTCATTGTCTGGTGCCATAGTCAACATGTCCATTGTACAACCTACACCTAGGCAGCTTCTTGTCCCCCATTTGCAAACACATTGTATGTGGATGGACGGATCTCCCTCTGTGTGCATTGGGTTCTGAGAGCAGGTGCCCGCCTCTGTCAAGCTACAGCTGATTGGCCGCAGTCACTTTTGGTCCAAAGGTTTTTGGCCCGGCTTCTTTTTCGAGGAAAGTCGATTCAGTAATTGACTTTTGTCGAGCTGGCAGGACCACACACACTTGGCTGATTCCTGTAAATCGTCCAAGATTCTAATGTATGGCCAACCTTACAGCAGAACCCCGGGTTAAAAATGTCTTAACCCTTGCAGTGGGGCTACCCAATAGTGGTTGCAATGCTCTGCTGCTCCAGTGCAAAAATATGATGTTTTTTTTTTAATTAATATTGTGCGTTTATGACATTTTGCAATAGGAGGCCTAGGGAACTCAAATTTATGATTTGGAGTTGAGTAACTAGCAGCAAGAGCCTGCAGTTTGGATTTAAACTACAACTCTGGGTAAAAACGTCCTTAACCCTTGCAGTGGGGCTACCCCCCACACTGCAGGGGGTTAAATGCTCGTTTTTACCTAGGGTCAGAAATAACTAGGGATGCACCGATACCGATACTAGTATCGGTGCTGATACCGAGTATTTGGACGAGTACTCACCCAAATGCCCCGATGCCTAGCCTGATACTATCAGGAAGCCGGGGCAGCACGTCATTACGCACTGCCCGGCTTTCTGATTGGCCGGGAAGCTGGCTTCATGCTCCCTCGTCACCTCATGACGAGGGAGCGTGGAGCCAGCCAATCAGGAAGCCGGGCGCCGCGTCATTACACGGCGCCCCCGGCTTCCATGGTTGGCCAGCAAGCCGGCTCCATGCTTTCTCGTCACATAGTGACGAGAAGCATTGGGGCAGCTTCATTGCTAATTGGGAAGCCAGGTGGCGAGTCTTTACACGCTGCCCAGCTTCCCGGCTAATGGGGAAGCCAAGTGGTGAGTCATTGCATGCCTCCTGGCTTCCTGAATGGGACTTCTGGTACTCGGTATCGGCGAGTACCGGAAAAAATAAATATTGGTACTCGTACTCGATACTGGTATCGGTGCATCCCCAGAAATAACCGTTATACTTACCCAGTCCTCAGAGCCAGCTTGCTCTTAGACCGGTCCTTGGAGCCTCTCCCGCCACTGCAGTGGTCTATCGTCCCTGAGTCATCACTTTCTATACACAGTGTATAGGACATGAAAAAGCCAAGGGACATACCACCGCTGCAGTGGAGTAGGAGACAGGCAGGAGGAAGCAATGACACAGCCGGCCGCCTCCGAGGTTCAGTTGAGGTAGGTGGTCAGGGACTCCAGACGTGTTGCTGGAAGCTGTCAGAGAATGGAGATATGTTACATGAAACTGTTGGAGTTCACTGCCATTACAGCGATTACAAAGCCCACATTTGTATCTCTACAACCATCTTTATAGTCCCCGGAACCACATTAAATATTCCTCTCAGCAAAATCTATTTAAAAATATCAGAGGAAAAAAAATATAAAAGGAAATGGACAGCCCCACCCCACCCCCTGCTCCAATCTCAGGCCCACCATATTTGAAAAGGTCCCAGGCATGTCCATCGCTGACTTACCATGGATGGTTATGCACTGTGTCTCTGTGTGGAGATGCCGTCTTGGTAGAGGAGCAACATTTTGCTTCCTCATGTCAGAGCTTCCTCCTGATGACGGATAGGGTAATATTCGAAAACCAGCAGGAGAAGTGGAGGAAGCAGAGATCCCCAGAATGGATAAAGAAGGAGCAGGGAGATCCTTACACTGCAGGCCTTCAGGTACAACTTCCTCTCCATCCAACAAAAAGAGCAGTGACATCACCAAAACTCACTCCAGATCTGGCAGGGATAGCAGTGCCTTAAGATGATCTCATACTACAGATATACAGCTATAAGATTTGTTGGAGGTCCCTTTAAAGGATTGTGTCATCCTCCTGCAGGGACACTTTAAATACAGGCATTGATTGGACAGACTTTTCTCCACTTGGGAGTGACAATGATTTGGGTGCAACTGGACTGTGGGGGACTATAGATAGAAAACTGCACAATTATCTGACATTGTACCGGCATTCCCCAGCGGGGAGGACTGTAGTGCTTCCTTATGGAGAAATTATAGCATGACAAGGAATACATAAAAAGGGAAGATACACAGAAATATGGCTATATATAAAAGAGAGAGATAGAGAGAGAGATGAAATATAATTTTCATTTAATGTGCAGATGATCTTTATAATGCTCATCTTGTTTGAGAGTTGAACTGATACAAGCAAAGCTTACTATTCTTCATATTCAGGCATCTGGAAATTTTCTTTTATATAGAACCACTGAAACTATTGTGTGGATGTACCGATAAGGACAGGATCTGTTTGAGCAAAGAAATGGAACAGTGTCTGTACCTGTCTTTGATGAAGAGAATTTGGATGCTTGAGGAGCAGTTTAGGGTCATCCTCTAAGAGCCATGGTTGAGGAGCAGCTTAGGGCTGTCCTCCAAAAGTAATGATTGAGGAGCAGCTTAGGGCCGTCCTCTAAGAGCTGTAGTTGAGAAACAGCTTAGGACGGACTGTACCCTAAAAGCTCTAATTGAGAAGCAGCTTAGGGTCATCCACTGAGAGCCGTAATTGAGGAGCAGCTGAGGGCTCTCCTCTAAAAGAAATGAGTGAGGAGCAGC